AGCGGGCGCGGCAGCCGCGCGTGCCGTACCCGCCGCAGGCCCGGCCTGGCGCGGCGCCGCGGGAGCAGAATGAGCAGGACGTGGAGGATGAGGAGATGGAGGACGCCGGCAAGGCTGCGGCGCCGCTGCTGAGCTACGCCCAGCAGCTGAGGGCGGCCGCCGAAGCCATGGCCAAGGCGGCGGCGAGCGGCGCACTTGCCGGCGGCTTCCACAACCCGCTGCTCGGCGGCGGCGCGCCGTTTGGCGCCGCTGCGCAGCTGGCCGGCGCGGCGGACACAGGCCAGAGCGACGCGTCGGGCAGGGTGCGGGCGGTTGGCGGTGGGCAGGCAATCGGTGGCCTGCACGCGCGGCCCGGCCGGGGCGAGGGCGGCGACCAGCGGCAGCCCGGCCCCCAAGGTGGTGCGGCCGGCGCGGTGCGCGGCCTGCGGCCCCAGGGTTGTGGCCTGGTGCTGGCCGGCCACTACCCTAGCCTTCAGACTGACATCGACATCCTTCGGCAGGGCGCGCAGGGCGGTGCGGCGTGAGAGCAAATCGAGGACCCGCTGCTGGCTGCGCACCTGCTGTGCCAGGAGCGGGGGCTGGAGGCGCGGTTGACCGCCGAGAAGCACATGATAAAGCTGGACAGCAAGGCGGCTGCCGAGGAGAGCCTGCTGCCATTCAAGCCCACCGGGGCGGTGCTGGTGGACGTGCGCGACGGCCCCGCCGCCCGGCAGCAGGTCCCCAAGGCCAAGGCTCAACAGCCACGCCGGGGCACGCAGCCGGGCCCTCACTTTGGCCTGCGGCGCAAGGCGGGGCGGGAGGAGCTGTGGTACCGCTCCGGCATAAGAATCATGGTCTGCATATGGAGCGTCAGGGTTGAGGTCCGAGACGTGGCCAAGGTGAGGTGTGCGCCTGCTCAGGGGCCTCAACTCTGAGTGTGGCGTGCTTGCTTGCCGACGTTGCGTGGGGTGCGAAGCAATCCAGCAGTGAGCCACTGATGTGCACGTGATCCTCGCATGTACACACACGATACACGCGACCACCCCTTGCAAGAAACGCACGCTCACTCCCCCTGGCCGCGACCCTCACCCGTAGTTGCAGCCCACAGCCAACGGTGGCCACGGTGACGGCGGCAGGGACAGCGGCGATGACGACGACGACGAGGAAGTGGTTGTTGGGACCTTCACTGCTGTGGGGCCCAAGATGATCGACACGGCTAAGCGCGCAGTCTTCAGGCTGCTGGCCGGGATGGCCGCAGGGACCCGCGCTTCGCAGGACCCTCCTGCGTTCTGGCGCCGGGCGAGCTTTTACGAGAACGAGGCGCAGTTTCGGGGGGAGGTGTCTGAAATGGCGGACAGGCTGGTGGCGCTGGGGCCGGGGAGGGGCAGGAAGGGGTGACGCACTCGCTAGTGGCGCTGGCAGCAGGTGTTGGGGAGGACATGTTGTGTGCATTGGCCGCAGAGTCTTGAGTGCTGTGAGGATGCACGCTGCTTGGAATGCCACTTTGTCCATGCAGCTTCTCAGAGCAGCTTGCAGTAGGATGATTTCTGCGCAGAGATGCAACGCCTGCCGGACCGGACATGTTGCAACAGCTGCCTTTTGCACGTGTCTGGGACAAGCAAACGGGCGCGCGAGTGCCTGGGGAGAGGGCAATAATGGGCTCTGTGAGGGTGCGCCGCCAATGTGCAGCACATGAAAGCATCATGTGAGAGGCACAAGCAGCAAGATTGGCGGTGTTTGCGGGCCTCAGCATGTAAGCGCTGCTTCAACATGCAGCAGTTGTGGATGAGCCGTGTCAGGATTGGTGATATCGCCAAGCGGGGCACAGGACCGGCAACGGCATACATCAGGAAGGGCGAGCTCAATAATGCAGTGGGAGCTGGAACAACAAGCCTCGCAGCCCTTTCTGCAACGAACAACAAGTCACCAGAGTGTCACTCGAATTCACGGTCCGAGGCATGCCTCATTATGGGGTTGGCCGCAGTGATGCATTTTGATGGGATCCACCGGCACTGCTCGAAAGTGTCATGAGATGAGAAAACACGCTGCTCTTGATTTGTGTTGCACGCAAGCAATGGGCGCAGATCACGTGTGGGAGTGTAGAGTTCAGCATGCTAGCACCCAGTCTCGCACGTTGGCAAGCTAGGTGGAGAGGCCGAGACGGTGTGTACGATGCGCTCTTCGGCAATACTGCTTGGCGCGCTGCGCGTGGAACGCGGTGCGGCTGGGCTCTTGCTTGCCTGTGGCGTCGGCAGTGCAGCATGCGATACCCTGTGCTGTAGCCGGCCGGTGGAGGAAAGCCGTTGCCATCGTGCCAGCGAGCGCAACGATGGGATGGTGCCAACAGCCCAGCAGACGTGGGCGAGGGTACTGAAGGCAGCTGCTTACGCCTACAACTCAGCCTGCAGCAGCGCGGGCAGCTGCCGGGTGGAGGCGCAGCAGATGGTACGAGGAATGGGTGATTCTCCGGTGCAGCGCAGGCGGGACAACTTGCAGGTGCTCTTGGTGGCACCCAGCCAGCGTGAGGTGGGGGCGCCGCCACCCAACAAGGTGCACGCTGTGGCAATGTCGGTGCTGGTGCGGAGATGGTAGCGGTGCCTGCTTTGCGCCCATCTATGCCAGAGTGTTCTTGCAGGTGTTGCAGCTGAGGACGTGCGTCCATAGGGTCTGGTGGGCTCTGTTCATGATCGCAAGCAGTGCGCCTGGGGCTTTCGAGCCTCTGCGGTGTCCTGGAGTTGACATGCCACACGGCCTCAGCAAAGGTGAGGCCTCATGCACTGCCATCTTGCCACCTTGGCGGGTGAAGGGGGAGTTGTCAGCTCTGTGCTGGAGTGGTTGAAGCCGCGTCGCTCACGTCCCCTGCCGCGGCGCGGGAGCGTGACTACCTCCCTTTGCCAACACATGATGCGGCGAGGGGCATCGTGAGAAGCCACGCACGGGCTGCATTGCGGCAAGAGCTGGGAGATGGCATTGGTGGTTGCTTATTGCAGGTGGCTGTAGTCACCTGCGGGGAGCCGGTGCGACGTGTGTGCTACTACAGTGGGGAGTCAAGCATGAATGAGGGTGCCACGGGGTTGATGGCGTTGATGTGCGCTTCTCGGGCTGCGTCGTTGTGGGTGCCCTGCTGTCAACTGGCACAGGGCGGGTGTTGCGTTCAAAGCGCGCACTCGCCTATGGGACTGAGCCAGGGCCAGGGATGCGAGTTTCGTTGCCAGGGCGCTGAGTTCCATGCCCCGCAGTGATGAGCCCAGCAAGGCCTGACAACAGCGGCGGATGGCAGAGTTGGGTTGTTGTGCGGCATAGACAAACCCGCATGTGAATTGAGCAGGAGCGCATGCCAGTGATGGCCAGCACTAGCCAGCCAGCCGTCATCCAGCAATGCAGCACTGCAAGGTGTCTGCGTGGTGAGCAGCCTGCTGGTGACCTCCAGGGAGCAGGGTGATGGATACTTGCGGCGGAGTGCCAACCGNTGCCAGTCACGCCGGCAGCAGGTCGCAAACAGCTCGTTCTTCTCAAGGTGTGGCCCTCCAGCAGTGCCATTTTCAGCTTGGTTGACCACCTGCTGCTGCACCCTGCTCTGCCTCCGCTACGATCATATGCATGAAACTGCTCACGTTCAATGCCGTGCTTGTTGTTTGTGCTTGGTGTGCTGGTGTTCGCATGCACGCACGCAGGCACGCACACGCACGCACGCACCCACGCATACACGCACGCATGCAGGCACGCCCACGCACGCACGCGCGCGTGCACACACACACACACACACACACGCACGCACACACACACACTCACACACGCANCACTCACTCACTCCCTCACTCACTCACTCAGTGTCAGACACATGAAAGGGATGCAAAAGGTTGGCGACATTGGGACTCCTGGCGTGGCGCGTGCGCTGCAGGCGGCAGCTGACATGGCAGCAGCTTGTTGCGGCCAATGCCATCGATGACGTCGTCGCTGGCGTCGAGCATGCGGTGCGGGCAGACTGGCACAGCACCCTGTCTGACGCCCCAGGCCTGGCCGGCACCAGCTGCTGGGCATGCATCCGTTTGGGCTGCAACGATGTGGCGGCGGGTGGTTGCTCGTGTGGCTCATGCGGCTGCAGACAGCGCGCGGCCGCAGCTGGAGCGTGGGCCCGGGGA